ACAAAAAGATTTAATTTGTATACTCTATTAGATTAATTTTACAGTAGTTTCTTTAGTTAAATATTAAATTTTTACGGTCACTTTCATAATTCCTAGATAAATTAGTTTTTTTAAGTCTAATATTCTTAATATAATTAAAACAGTAAATAATTTATAGATGGTATTTTGAATTTAATCTAATATTACATTTTTTTTTTTTAATTTAGAGACTTATTAAATACAAAATTTAAAATTTTAGTAAATATAAAATTTAATTTACATTTTAAAAGTTTGGAATATGTTGGGAAATATTTATTAAATAAAATTTTAAAAATAATCCTTAACCTTAGGATAGCTGCTGGTCCAAACAGTGTGGAAAAAGGAAGTGGGAAAGAAAATTCCCTTGCTCTACCTCACGTACACGTGGCTAATTATTAACCACATATCTTCCCTCACATTTGGAAACTAAAGAAAAGGTTTATATTTAGTTTAATAATTATAAATTAATTTGGAATCTTAATAAAAAAAAAAACTTATTTTTTATTTTTTATTTTTAGATTAATAATTACATTTAAAATCAAATCATCGACCTATAAAATGATAGTATTAATCCAATGGTCACGATAAAATTAAAGACTAGAAAAAAAAATCAACTACAAAAACGATGGATGTCATAAATGAAATTTACAAGATAAATGGTTTAAAAAAATAATAAAATAAAATATGAGAATAAAAAAAAAAAAAAAAATTAAGAGAGCATTTTCAATCATATCTTTTGACTTTAATGTCTTTTCTATACATAATATATACGTAAATACACACACAAATATGGAGATTCACTCTTTCATCTTTGACTATGAAAATTTTTATTCTTTTATTCTATTTAAAAAATTTATGAAATTTAAGTTAAATTTCGATAATTTCATTTGCTTATTTATTTATATATTTCCTTATTATGTGTTTGTATTGAGGAGGGTAGAATTGGAAACAGATTGACATTAGGTCAACTAGAATTGAAATTAGTTAGTAATTTGGAGGAAATTTACTTATCATATCCTTCCAAATTACAAATTTAATTTAGCCTTGTAATTTTAAAAATATTAAATTTTAATTATATAATTTAACTAAAAAAAACAAGGTAAAAATTAACCACGGAACCAAAACTCGTCCTAATATCATTTATCTACTGAATCGAATCAATTTCATACCGTACATATAATTTATTAAAAAAAATACAATGCTACTTATCCAAGTTTAAAGCGCAATTTTATTAAATTATATATATATTATTAAAAAATTAGATAATTAAATTTAAATTTATTTAATAAATTTAAATTTTAAAAAACCAAATATAATTAAAATTCGAAGCATTTGGGGATTGAAGTTGTTCTATAAATTATATCAATGCACTCCAAGGGAATGATAAAAAACTAGTTCCAAACTCCCAACGAATTGAACAGTAAAGATTCGCAGAGAGGAGGAGGACGACGATGAGCGTGAACATAACCTCCATTAAAACCGCCTCCAACGGCGTCTGGCAAGGCGACAATCCACTCAATTTCGCCTTCCCTCTTTTGATCCTTCAATCCGTTTTGATTCTCCTCCTCACCCGCCTCCTCGCCGCCGTCCTCAAGCCCCTCCGCCAGCCCAAAGTCATCGCCGAAATCCTCGTAAGTTCATTTTCTCTGTTCTGATTCTGATTCTGCAACTTTTTGACTCCGTTAATGGAGGATTTTTGAATTTCAGGGCGGGATTCTTCTGGGTCCCTCTGTTTTTGGTCGGAATCAAGTTTATTTGAACTGGGTTTTTCCGGATTGGAGTACTCCGATTCTTGAATCGGTTGCTAGTATTGGGTTGTTGTTCTTTTTGTTTTTGGTTGGATTGGAACTCGATTTGTCCTCTGTTCGCCGTAGTGGGCGGCGGGCTTTTGGAATCGCCGTCGCTGGAATCTCCGTTCCTTTCCTCTCCGGCACCGGCATCGCCTTTGTACTTCGGAAAACCGTCGCCGGTGCCAATAACGTCGGGTACTGGCAATTTGTTGTGTTCATCGGCGTTGCTCTGTCCATTACTGCTTTTCCTGTTCTGACGCGCATTTTAGCGGAGCTTAAGCTTCTCACCACCGAAGTCGGCGAGATTGCCATGGCGGCCGCCGCATTCAACGACATGGCTGCTTGGATTCTCCTCGCACTCGCCATTGCTCTAACGGGCAACGACAACTCTGTTACAGTACAGAGAAGTTCGTTAGTTTCCGTGTGGGTCCTACTCTCTGGAGCTGGATTTGTCGTTTTCATGATGACGGTGGTCCGACCAGGAATGAAGTGGGTTGCACGGCGGTGTTCGTACGAGGATGACGCGGTGGAGGAAGGGTATGTCTGTTTGACGTTGATCGGAGTGTTGGTTTGTGGGTTTGTAACGGATTTGATCGGAATTCATTCGATTTTTGGGGGTTTTGTGTTTGGATTGACGGTGGCGAAGGAGGGGAGATTCGCGGAGAGATTGATTGAGAGGATTGAGGATTTCGTGTCGGGGCTTCTTCTTCCTCTGTATTTTGCGTCGAGTGGGTTGAAGACGAATGTGACGAAGATCAACGGCGGAAAATCATGGGGGCTGCTGGCGCTGGTTATTTCCACGGCGTGTGCAGGGAAGATTCTGGCGACGTTTGCGGCGGCGATGGCGTTTTTAATGCCGGCGAGGGAGGCGATGGCTTTGGGATTGCTTATGAACACTAAAGGCTTGGTGGAACTCATCGTGCTCAATATTGGGAAGGAGAAAAAGGTCAGTTTACTCAATAAAGCACAAAATCTAATGGTTTTTTTTTTTTTTTTTTTTTTTTTCAATTTTAATATTTTAATTATTATAATATTAATAAAATATAAAATGGGTGTGTTTTGTGGGGCTAAATGAACATCGTTTGATGACATTGAAAGAAGACATGTTTGGTCTTGGAACTGTTACATTGTCCTAGGAAACATTGGCCCTAATAAAGTAAGGAAAATGAAAGTATATCATTATGGGACACATACATGTTCTCAATTGAGGCTTTGCTAAGCTTTATTTATTCGACTTTCACGAACAAATGTTTTTTTTTTTAATGTGATGGGTCGGGTTGATTTTATTCTTTAGTATAAGTATTAGATAGGTCCATAGGACGAGATAGATAAGTATTCCTCGACCCTTATTATGTTTCTATTTCTATCCTACGAAATTCTCCATTTATTCATGCTAGAATTAGATTGAGATTCACTATTAGATTCATATGGATTGAGGTTTTCATAGAGAAATTTTTTTCATTCACGGTAAACACAGATTCTTCGTCCAATTTTGGGAACGTGGGAAGGTATTTGTGGGTGAGAATCTCTTTAGAGAGAGTAAGTCGGTTAAAAAAAATGGAATATCCAAATTGAATGAGAATCTTATTTGGGTGTACGCCCAACGAATATATGAATATATGTATAACATTTTGAAATTGTGAGGCTGATGGCGATACCTAGTAATAGTTTAAAGCAGACAATATCTGCTGGAGGTAGGCTTGGACTATTACAAATGGTATCAGATCTAGGCACTAAGCGGTGTGCCAACGAGAACGTTAGGCCCCGAAGAGAGGTGGATTATGAGATCCCACATCAGTTAGAGAGGAGAACGAAATATTGTTTATAAGGGTGTGAAAACTTTTTCCTAGTAGACACGTTTTAGAATATTTTAAATATGTGAGACTAACGGTCATATGTAATAGGCGGAAGCTGATAATATTTGTAAGAAATCTGATGAAATTAAGATGTGTCAAAACAAATAGGTTTTGAACGACGAAGTATTCGCGATACTAGTGTTAATGGCACTATTCACAACCTTCATCACCACCCCCACCGTGATGGCAGTCTACAAGCCAGCCCGCGCGGCGGCCGCCACCCGAACCCAGCGCAAACTCCGCCACCTCTCTGGCGCCGGGAACTCCACCAACGACAAGTCACTAACAATCCTAGCCTGCCTCCACAGCTTAGGCAACGTACCTGCCCTAATCAGCCTGACCGAGTCAACTCGCAGCACCAAAACCTCGTCCCTCAAACTCTTCGTCATGCACCTCGTCGAACTCACCGAGCGCTCCTCCTCAATCCTAATGGCCCAACGCGCCCGCAAGAACGGCTTCCCTTTCTTCGCAAGGTTCCGCAAGGCCAGCGAGTGGCACGACCAGATGGCCGCCGCCTTTCAGGCCTACAGCCAGCTGGGCCGGGTCAAGGTCCGGCCCACCACAGCGGTCTCTTCCTTAACCACAATGCACGAGGACATCTGCGGCGTGGCGGACGATAAGAGAGTGGCGATGATCATCTTGCCGTTTCATCGGAATTGGAGGACGGTCAGCGGCGTGGAGGAGAATATGGGCCATGGGTGGAGAGTTGTGAACCAGCGGGTGCTGAAGAGTGCGCCTTGCTCGGTGGCGGTTCTTGTGGACCGGGGGTTAGGAGCGGTGGTTGGTGCGGCACAGAGCATTTGTGTGATGTTTTTTGGTGGTCCTGATGACCGGGAGGCGCTGGAATTGGGTGGACGGATGGCGGAGCATCCGGCGGTGAAGGTCACGGTGGTGAGGTTTCGGGCGTCGCCGCCGTCGGATGTAGTGGAGGGTAGTAAGGTCATTTCGCGACATATGTATTCTAAATCTAGCGACAGTCATTATAGCTTCTCCACTGCTCCAATAAACTGGGAAAAAGAAAAGGTACTGTTTTTTTTTTCCTTTAAATCATTTCAGAAAAATTTAATGTTTAATTTCCAAATATTAATTAAATTTAATGTTCTGAAATAAATGCAAAAAAAAAAAAAAAAAAAAAAAAAAAAAAAAAAAAAAAAAANGAAGCAGCAATAGCAGAATTCAGAGCCAAATGGGATGCAACAGCTGAGTACACAGAAAAGGAAGCCACCACCGACACGAACACGATAGTTGAAGGGGTGGTCGGGATCGGAAAGGAAGGCGGTTTTGACCTAATCGTGGTCGGGAAGGGTCGGGTTCCGTCGAGCATGGTGGCAAAACTAGCAGACCGGGCGGCGGAGCACTCAGAGTTAGGGCCGATCGGGGACATATTGAGCAGCTCCGGCAGGGGAATAGTATCTTCAATTCTAGTAATTCAACAACACGAAGAAGAAGAAACTCCAGCATTGAATAAGCAGTCTTTCTCAATCATAGGAGCTTCCATTAATGTATAAAAATCATAATTGTTACACTCAACTTTGATATATATATCTCGACGTTTATCAAAAGAAGCCTAAATCGTCCCCACCAGACAGAAAAAATTGTTTTCCTTAATTCGAATTTGTAAAAGAAAAAAAGGCTATCCATCTAATTTAACTCAATGCATAAGACATACGGATGAATATATATATATATATATTAGTAAGTTGGGCTTTCATACCGAAGGGGCCTGCACAAGTATGGCCCAGTTCAGAATGGGCCCATCAGAGGGAGTCATCGTCGGCCCAAAGGCCCAAGGCCCGAACAAAGCAAGCCGACCCGGCTACTACAACCGCGGCGAAAATAGGAGGCACGATGAGATCAATTCCGGATTTCCGAAACAGATTATCCGGAACGCAGACGACGTCTCCCGGAAAATCCATCGGAACCCTAACGAATCCAGCGGCCTTGCAGTGTGAAGCAAAGGACGAGGACGGAGAAATTGCGGAGGCGAAGGCGAGCTCGGGCGCGAAGGAGGCGGCGGCGACGGTGAGAGTCAAGAGAATCGTCCAGGAGGCGGAGTAGACAAGAAGCGGCCACCGCGATCGGAGACGACGGTATAGTAATCGGAGCATTTTTTTAGTTGAAATGTGGAGAAGAGGAAGGGGAGTGGCGCGGTTTGATTGACGAGCAGAATATTATTATTAAGGGGAAAGACGATGGATTAGGTTTTGACTGAGGTTTGATGATGACGCCATTGCCATTGGTGGTTGAAATGGAGAAGATGTGTGTGTAGGGGATTTGATCCTCCACTTTTTTTTTTTTTTTTTTTTTTAACATTTCAAGTTTTATTAAATATATATTTTTTATATAAAAAAATAACCAATAATGACGTTGAAATTAATTAAGAAATTAGGTGGAGTTTGGTGTATAAATTTGTAATTTATTGTATCTAATTCAACTAACATCCTTTTCTAGTTGACCTAATAACCACTCTTAAATCTCAAATATTACTTGTTTTCACTCTAAAAAATTCATCTATCATGGGTGAGTCGGAAATCTTGTTGGGACCATTTTTCTGAACCCGAAAGTTGGATGGATTGTGAAAATTTTTGGGTTGGGTTGGGTTACCAATCATTCAACCAACCCGAACTTCTGGTTGATAAAAAAAAAAAAATTCTTCAACACAACCCAACCGAACCACGTACACTCCTACCTACCTTAATAATACCACTTGTCACACTTGTCACCATACTTTTCTTGATAAGAACTTTTGGTTGATCCAAAAAAAATTCCTCAACACAACCCAACCTAACCCGAACCATGTACATCCCTATCTACCCTAATAATACCACTTGTTACAGTCGTACTTTTCTTGATAGCGAACATTACGATTGTGTGACTCACTCCCAATACTCAATAAGTCAAGCCAAATTAGATTTGTATCGCTTACAACGTATACTCAAGCCTTTAGCCTTTAGCCTCTAGCCCCATTTTGAGAATAAGGTTTTAGAAATGGGAACAAAGAGATCTTCAAGAGCAAGTTTGAAAGTAAGAATGAAGGATGATTTGAGAGCAACATTATATAAACTATAAACAAAAGACAACACAACAAGTTAAATAACATATAATTTTTCGAGAATGAAAGATGATTTGAAAGCTCTGAGAATGAAAGATGATTCGAAAGCGACATTATATATAACTATAAACAAAAGGCGACATAACGACTTAAATAATATATAACTTTTTAGGTAGGGTAGAGAGAATTTGACAACTAGTTGCATCCCCTATAATACATTTTGATGCGATTCAAGTTTGACAAGCCTAAATGTAATTTCATCGAATGAGGAGTTGACAACCAGTGAAGAATTCCTATAGAGAATGATGGACGGACTAGAGAGAAATTTTTCTTGTTACCTTGTCGGGAAGGAATGGGGAGAAAATTTTCTTCTTAGGTAAACAAGGCCGGAGAAGGATTATACTTCCCGTCACACCACCCCCACCCAAATCCCCACCTTGCCTTAGAATGAGCCATACCATCTAAAGTGTCGTTAGTCAGCCGAAACACAATTTAAATGATCAAAGCATTATATCATCGACTAAGAAGTTAGAAATTTAAATTTGAACTCACCCGGTTGCTGATGATAAGATTAGCGTATTCAGCAGCAGAAATGGACCTATAAAACTTCTACTGATTTTCATTACATTCACTGAAACATCCTGTTCTTAGTTCGTACACACAAGAACACATCATTTTCATCTTCCTCGATAAGCTTTTCTGGGATACAAATCATCCAAGATACCTCCAAGAGTCGACAATGCATCGTGAAACTTTCGGATTTTAAGGAAACCCCTTATCGTCGAGATCTCGCTCTCTAAGAATTTAGCTTTCTCCATTATCATATCAACAAGCTTCACAAGTGTATCCTCCATGCCTAAAGTACAGAGACCTTCAGCCAACATAACAAACGACGAGATTTCAGGTATATTTCCTTTCTCGATCATCTCAACCGTGAAGTCCACAGCTTCTCCGATTGGTCCTCCGCCATTGCAGAGACCTCGATAAACTATCTTATACGTTATTGCATCCGGGGGAGCAGCCTTCTCCGACATCTCTCTGAAAAGTCTCATGGCTTCAAGAGTTCTGTTCCGTTTGAACAATGCTTGTATAACAGGATTATAGGCCTGTGGTGTTAGAACCATCCCTTTCATTTGAATCGATCGGAGAAGCCGACTTGCAACCTGAACTCTTCCTGCCTTACAGAGACCACCGATAAGGGTCCCGTAGGTGACGATATCAGGATCACATCCACTCGAGGCCATAGTTTGAACTATATCCGCCGCCTTTTTAATGTCGCCGGTCTTACAAAAGTGAGTGAGAAGTGAATTGTAGGTGAATTTATCAGGCTTCAAGCCCTCCATTATCATTTGATCCATCAAATGAGCAGCATCCTCCACTCTCCTGCTTTTACAAAGGCCATCAATAAGGATGTTGTAGGTCACTGAATCCCTTGAAACGCCTTGAAGTTCCATCTCATCAAATATCTCCTCTGCTTCTTCAGTCCTCTTGTTCTTACAAAACCCATCAATCAATGTATTATAGATGACTACGTTACGAGCACAGCCGCTCGTCTCCATTTCTTTTAGCAGATTTAAAGCTTCCCCCAGTTTCCCGCTCGAACAAAGACTGCCAATCAACATATTGTACGTAAACTCGTCCGGTCGACATCCTTTACCCTTCATTTCCTCGAAAAGGTCCATAGCATTCCTGTGACTGCTGGACATACAGAGACCCTGTATCAAGGAATTGAATGTGCACACATCAGGTAAAATTCCCTTGCTTGTAAGAAGACGAGCTATTTCAGTTGCCTCTTCGACTCGATTCTCCTTACACAAGGAGCTAATTAGAATATTATACGTGACGGAGTTCGGAGAGCAGTCCCTCGAAACCATCTGATCCAGAAGTTTCACTGCCTCCTCAATTTCACCCAGCTTACACAGTCCAGAAATCAGAGAGTTATATGTGTATATATCTGGATCAAGTCCTTCTAAAAGCATTGCATCTACAACTTCCATGGCATGCTTAGGATGCCCGACCTTGCATAAACCATTCACGAGAGTATTATACGTAAACTGGTCGGGACAAAATCCTTCGTTCACCGCTTCTTGAATGAAACTCAAGGCTTGATCAATTCTACCCTGCTTGCAAAACCCATTAATCAAGACATTAACAGTGACATCAGTACAAGAACACCCATATTCTACCATCTGTTCTTTAATTCTCAGTGCACCATCAAAATTCCCTTCCTCAATGTATCCTTGCATTATAGTTGTGAATGTGGTCTCATCTGGAGACAAGCCATAACTTGGCATCTCTTCCATCATCAAAATGGCAGGCCTAATCTGATGAGCCTTGCAAAGGGCATTTATCAGAATGTTAAACGTCGTAACATCGTGCCTAATTCGTCTTCTAACCATGCTGGAATGTGCAGATTCAACAAGTTTAAGCTTGTTGGCATCCACAAGAACATTTAACAGTACATTATAGAAACGGGTATCAGGCTTTATCCTATATTCATCCTCCATTACTTTAACAATGTTCATAACTTCATCATACAGCTCAAAATTCGCATAACTCTCAACAAAAATCAAGAAAATACCTCTATCAATCTCACAACCAGAAAGCTTCATCTCCTCCAAGACGCGCCTCATGTACTCGAACGACCCTACCTTTCCAAGCTTGCGAAGAATCTCCTCGTAAACCGATGAACTGGGCACGAAGTTACGCTGCTTTGAAGCCCAATTGAAGATGCGAAGCGCCGAAACTTCATCGGTCTGGCGACGTAAGGTCTCGATAAGCTGCTTGGGAGTGAAATCTGGTGGAAGATGATGAACATTGGGTGAAGACGAAGAAGAATTCGAGGAGGATGATGAGGCGAGCTGGTCAGAAACTGAATTAGAAAAGAAAATGGAAGAATTCGAGATGGGTTTAGAGGGAAAAGAGAGGGGAGAGTGAGGAAGAGACCATGGATAGCATTTTACACAAGTAAAAGCCATTGGGGCAATTCGACAAACACCTAGAGTGCAGGAGTATTTTGAGAAGGTTCGCCGTTATCTTGAAGAGGTCGGAGGCCCCTTAAGATTTCGCCGCCGACATGGAAGTGAATCTGGAAGAAGATGACAGTGGGAATCTGTGATAGAAATCGATGAAGACGATAACGCTGGATGAATTCACGAGCTTGAGCTACCCTTTCTCCCGGACACTGCTAGATTTGCTACCATTTCCATGTGATTTTTCTTTTTTTCTTTTTTGCGGACAAATATTCCGTATTTATATTTGGATAAAATAGGTTTTAATATAATTTCTATTTGGTCCCTATCTATTAAGATTTTACATATTTACACCCATTTTTGGCTATTTATATTACTTTTCTATTAATTAATTTAATTATTTTAAATTTATTAATTATCACTAAATTTTAATTACTATTCAAATTAATTAAAAAAACTAAACTCAAAATTTAATTAAAAAAAATGTAACAATTTTAAATCTAAGAATTTTAAGAACAAACTCGGTTCAAAATTATAAATTTAGTCTCTAAGTACATAGTTTCGATTTAATTTTTACCGTTTTAAAATTTTCTGTTTATAAATCTTTTCATGTGACGGCCGCCTATAGGTGGTAGGGTAGAGTGGGTGGTACCGCTCAGATTGTGGCTAATCTTCCTAACCACGCGCGGGCTTAGAGCGCACGAAACTCATCACTACCTCGTAAAGGCGTCGAGACCATAGCATGTTACACAAAAGCGGGTAAGGTGGGTGGTACCGCTCAAATTGTGGTCAATCTTCCTAACCGCGCGCGGACCGGGCTTAGAGCGTGTGAAACTCATCACTACCTCGTAAGGGCGTTGAGACCATAGCATATTACACGAAAGCGCCGCTTTTTCTATAGTCTTATCACACAGCAGCCCGCCTAGAAGAGCCATAGCTTTATAGTCCAACCATTAGACTTGAAATTTGGTGCATTTGAGCTTCGAATTCGAGTTTTGTTTAAATTTGATCCTAACCCATATAACTCAAATCGTCTAAATTAAGTGTACTTATTTGGACAAGTAGGCAAGAAGACGTAACTTTTGACCGGGCTAAAAGTAGCTCGGAGGACTAAAAGTTTCGAGACTGAACTTGCGACACGGTCGGTCTGCAGTTCTATTATCGCCTCATGGCAAGGATCTTACTCACAGCTGAGAAGATTTTACAACAGCAAGTTCAGTTCAGACTAGCCCAAATGCAGCCA